GGAGGAGGAGGAGGAGGAGGAGGAGGAGGAGAAAAAGAAAAAGGAGAAAAAGTGATTTGATTCAGAAAGAACCTGTAGTTAGACAGCCTCAAAAAGGTTTCAAACTACAACCATAACCAGTTGCATGGAGCTCATGTCTCCATTATACATACCTGAATCGACTAGGATATCATCTAAAATTATGATCAATTACACACACACACACTCACACACACACACACACACACACACACACCTGTGTTCGGAGCAGGAGTTGGTGCACTCTGTGTCGTATGGGCCGGAGATCCTGTTTGGCCACTGCCGGAAGCTGTGAAAAACAAAACATGTAAAATATGTCACAAAATAAGATAACAAACAGAAAGTCTGAGAATACACCATAACGCACAATGTGTCACAAAACAGTAGAAAGGCTTTTTGATGACTGCATATTTGGAACAGTAAGAAACTTTTGAAAGCAGATATGTTGGCCAGTAGTTTTATTTCAACATCAGATGTGTGCATCTGGGCATACATCTATAGATCCTTATTAAAGTCTTTATTGCAGAGGTTTAAGTCTTCTGTTCACATGAGCTTTTTCCTTTTGCTTCCCAAAGGTAGCTCAGAAAGAAGAGCTGAGATAAGCAGAGAAACAAAGGAAATATGAAATGTTATTTATCATAAACAAAAAGAGGCAGGAGACAGACAGTGATACAGACATAGACATACATTAAGAGAGAGAGAGAGAAAAAGAGGGAGAAGCAGAGCAGAGCTGCCTACCCATGAAAGAGCCTAGACTATCAGTACTAGATCTATGCCAATTTTTTGTACTTTTCCCTACTTTTTCAGTGAGTTTCAGTACTCTTTTGAGCAGCGTGAATTCGCACATATTGGATACCATCTAGCACTTGCCAAAATCAACTTAATATTATCATGCACAACAGGAATAAGAGGTCTATGGCTCTCATGCGCATATTTATTCAGGTTTGTTGTTTTTTTTACGCATTTATAATGCCTAGGCCTACTGCCCGGACGTAAACAGTAAGAAAGAAATTCACTTCCGGTTCCATTGCAGTTTTTGATATCCGTATAATTTAAAAATCGAATCTTTTGATTCTGTTGCTCAGCAAACGGCATAACCTATTATCAACGATTCTACAAAAATCCATACTTTTTCTTAGTGAAACTTACAGATTTTGAGGCTCATTTCCGTACTAAAAATGGAACATCCAAAACGGTACGCAGCTCTGAGAGAGAGAAAAAGAGAGAGGGAGAGACAGACAGACAGATAGACAGAAAGAGAGACAGAGACTGAGACAGAGACAAAGCAACAAAGACAGAGACAGACTCAGAGACAGGTTTAACTTACGTGAGTTCATCCCTTCGATGCTTATGGTTGCAGCAGGCGAGATATCTCCGTCGCCGTGACCAATGAAGGTGAAGCACAGTTTGTCCCCAACATGCTCCACAGCGTTGTAATCTTTGTTCTCCAAACGAAACTCTCGATTGCTCACCTTGGTGACGGTTGCCACAAACGCCTGGTTGAAAAAAACAATTTCATTAACGCACATAAATTTGTCTTGTACAAATTCGAAAGTCTCTTTTCTTCCGTTCGTTTTTGTTAGCTTTTGTTAGAAATTATTTTTTTACGCCCCCCATTGACTCATTTGACTTGAGATAATTTAGGAGGTAGGCTTTAACCCTACCTGTCACGGACAACACATGTAGAGAGGGATACAACATCGCAGCAGAAAGACGGAGGTACTGAACAGATATTCTCCTCACACAGGAATTGAACTCAGATCTCCCGCTTGTGACTGTAAAACTACACCACAGACACCAGTATGGGGGCTCTCGTGACTTGAAGTTAAGGTGTTCGCCTCTCATTCAAAAGTCCCGGGTTCCAATCCAGGTAGCGACAGAAACATTTTCTTCTCTAAATTTGGGGGGTCATCAGTACGTCATGGGT